GACCCGGTGTTAGAGCTGGAGCCTGGAGGCCTAGATGCCACCAGGGACCCGTCACAGGCTGAGTTTATCCGATCACAGGCTTGAATCTCATCTCGGACCGAGGGCCTATAAAAGGCAGGAGCCTTGGGAAGCACATCAGAGCACATCGCTGACAGCCAAGCCCCACAGCAGCTCAGCGTTGGGCCAGGATCACCCAGCGTGAACGTCTGTGTCCGTGAGGAGGTGAGTCTCGGGAAGGGAAGGCAACGTTCCCGTGTGTGTGTGTGTGTGTGTGTGTGTGTGTGAGTGTGTGCACAGGCATGTGCATGTGGGCTGGGCTGTGAGGAGAAGGTTCCCAGGGACACAGGGAGGGGGTCCCTCAGGCACGGGAAGGTCTGACTCAGTGGATCAAGCGTCCGCCCATGGATTAAAGGGTCCTGGGTCGGATTCTGGTCACAGGCATGTAGCTCGGTTGCGGGCTCCATCCCGGGTCCTAGTCTGGGCTCGTGTAGGAGGCAACCAGTCCCGGATGGAGGTCCTACAGCTCAGGGAGGTGCACGGCACGGGGACCTGCTCAGCTTCTCTTCCTACATCAATAACCTCGCCCTTGGCCCCCAGGAAACTCCAGGCTGACAGCCCAACTCTCAGTAGCAGCAGCTGCCCCCTCAGGAGAGCCCCAGGCTCACCAGGGCCCCCTGTGAGGGTGGTGCCGGCGGGCGGGGCTGGGCTGGGCTGGGTGGGGAGGGGTGGGGAAATGCTTTTCTTTCTCACCTTAGAATCCTTTCCACTCCCTCAGCCTCAGCACACACTTCAATCTCCACCCCTTGGGAAGCACATCAGAGGCAGCAGCGCTGACAGCCGAGCCCCACAGCAGCTCAGCGTCGGGCCAGGATCACCCAGCGTGAACGTCTGTGTCCGAGAGGAGGTGAGCCTCGGGAAGGGAAGGCAATGTTCCCGTGTGTGTGTGTGACTGTGTGCACAGGCATGTGCATGTGGGCTGGGCTGTGAGGAGAGGGTCCCCAGGGACACAGAGAGGGGGTCTCTCAGGCACTGGAAGGTCTGGACTGGCTGTGGCTCTAGCTGGGCAGGAGCTGCCTGGACTGCAGGGGACCCCACCCAGGCAAGTCTGTGTGTGGCGGGCTGTTATCCTGTTCATTGTATGTTTCTAGGAACTCATTTTCATGGCATGTTGGGCAAGTGTTGGACCAAAGTGTGTGACTTGAGGGTTGGGGATCCGGCTGAGGGTAGAAGCTGACATTTAAGGTGGGACTGTCCCTAGACAACCCCAGGCACACAGTCTGCCCTAAATAAACATATCTCAGTCATGAAAATTATGGTATAATTAGGCACCATTTTAAAACAACCAGAGAATTTTCACTTTCAACGAGGATCAAACCTATCTGTCAAGTTTATACGTATCAGTTATTTAAAAGAGGAAATCACAGAACAAGAAGACAGCAAAAGCCGTAACCGGTTTGGCTCAGTGGATAGAGCGTCAGCCTGTGGACTGAAGGGTCCCAGGTTCGATTCCGGTCAAGGGCATGTACCTTGGTTGCGGGCACATCCCCAGTAGGGGGTGTGCAGGAGGCAGCTGATGGATGTTTCTCTCTCATTGATGTTTCTAACTATTCCTCTCTGTAAAAAATCAATAAAATATATATTTAAAAAACAAAAACAAAACAAAAACAAGACATGACTGTCAACCCTTGAGGTTCGGCTTAGTGCATAGAACACGGGCCCGCGGACCAAAGGGTCCTGGGTTCCAATCTGGTCACAGGCATGTAGCTCGGTTGCAGGCTCCAACCCAGGCCCTGGGGGTGGCGGGCGGCCCGGTTAGGAGGCAGCCAGACCTGGATGCAGGTTCTGCACCTCGGGGACCTGCACAGCTTCTCCCTCTGGGTCCATGGCCTCCCCGAGGGGCCCCCCAGAAACCCAGGGCCTCCAGGGGGGCGCGGGGCCGGGGGCGGGGAATGCGTGTCTCTCTCTACAGCCTTAGAACCCCTTGGGCTCCCTCCGCCTCAGCACAGCCTCCCGGGAAGGGTGGGGTTCCGCCATGGACGCTTTGGGGTTTGAACCGCTGTTAGACAACAGCCTCTGGGTCCGGCTCATTAGACAGGATTATTGCCCGCCTTCCCTCCCTCCGCGACCCGGAGGTACTATTTTTTTTCTACCCAATCACTCAGACACTCTCTATTCCTCTTCCTGGCCGCTGGCCACTTCCTTTGGGAGCCTCACCCCCTTCCATCCGAGTGTCTGGAAGGCCTGGGGCAGCTCCTAACAGAGGAGGGAGGAGGGCGGCCTGGGCTCCCAGGTCCCCTGTGGCTGCTCAGACAACAGCCTGGAGACAGGTAGGAGGAGGGAGGACTGGGCAGGAGCTGAGCTCCATCATCCAAGTGGGGAGGGTGGGGAGTTGGGGAGGGAGAGGAGGGTGGGGAAGGTGGGGAGGAGGGGGAGGTGCTTGATCCTGGAAATAATTTGATGGGAGAGGACACAGGAGGAGAGAAACATGTGCCTGTTCTGCAGGAGCGATTCACCAATCTGGGAAGATTAGGGAGTTGGTAGGAGCCGGGCCTGTATGGCTCAGTGGCTGAGGCAGGAGGTCAGGGTTCGAAACCCAGGCAGGGCACATGCCCTGGTTGCGGGCGGGCTCGATTCCAGTGGGAGCCTGCAGGAGGCAGCCAGCCCATCAGTGATTCTCTCCGTGGTTGATGTTTCTCTCCCTCCCCCCCACATCCCTCTCTCTTTCTCTCCATGTCTGTGGGAGACTCGCTTATGACCAAGCCTGACCAGAATGTCC